GATACAATGGAATGACATTGCTTTTGATCAAGTGATTGTCAGGTTTGCATTTTAAATAAAGTAAATGTCATGAAAAACTAACTCTAACTTAACGTTGTTACAGTTCTTAACTACATTGACCTCCGACCTTCGATTTATATATGTTTTTGTTCTTGTCATTGTTATACTGTGGACTTAATTCAACAAAAAGGAATCCATCATGGATTGTGTGTGTGTGTGTGGGGGGGGGGTGACACCATGAGTTTACCGCACCGGGTGACATCAACCCTAGCTACGCCACTGTATTTATGTCTTTACAAGAGAAAATTTTAGAAGACCGGATTAGATGTTAGAAGCTCTGAAAATGATAAATCTGAACTCCAACTTGTTGATAGTCGACAGACTGGATTAGCTGTGAGAAGCTCTGAAAATGATAAATCTGAACTCCAACTTGTTGATAGTCAACAGACAAATTATTGGTATTTATAGCATTATGTCTCATTAATTCTGATAGAATAATTTTAATTTATTCGTTTAGTCATTATTCGTCCAAGCGCAAATGCTGTCTGCAGTGTTCGTCTGTACTGTTAGGCTCGCTCGGGAGAGAAAGTTTTCTTAAACGTGTGTGTGTGTGTGGGGGGGTGGGGTGTTTAAGTTAATATTTGATATCACACACATATTGTATTTTTTATGACACATTTAAAAGCTGAAATGGACAGTGATGTTTAACTTTCTGTTATGCTGGATGTACTCTGACAAGAGATGTCAATTATTAGTGTCCACTTTTAATAGTGGGCGTGTCTTAGATTGAATTTAAGTAAGTTGTAGATTTTTGAAACAATTTTATTTTTGGGTGTTTGACGTGCTTAAGAAGGAGGGGGGGGGGGGGGTTGGGCGTAAAATTGTCAAAAATAGCGTGCTATAATAAATGGACAGCCCCTTAGGCGAAAAATATCTCTAGGCGACTTCTGTCTACATAAGGTGAATTCTATAGGCGACATCTGTATATAGGTGTCTTCTGTCTATGGGTGAATTGTGTCTCTATACCATTTCTGTCCACAGGCGACTTATGTCTGTATGTGACCTGTATACGGGAAACTTCTGTCTATAGGCGACTGCTGTCTATAAGTGACCTGTATATGGGAGACTTCTGTCTGTAGACGACTGCTGTCTATAGGTGACATTATATGGGAGACTTCTTTCTTTAGGCGAGTACTGTTTATAGGGGACCTGTATATGGGAGCCTTCTGTCTATAGACGACTGCTGTCTATAGGTGACATGCATATGGGAGCCTTCTGTCTATAGACGACTGCTGTCTTTAGGTGACATGTATATGGGAGACTTCTGTCTATAGACGACTGCTGTCTATAGGTGACATGTATATGGGAGACTTCTGTCTATAAGTGACTGCTGTCTATAGATGACCTGTACATGGGAGACTTCTGTCTATAGGCCATTGCTGTTTATAATCGACTACTGTCTATAGGTGACCTGAATATGTGAGACCTCTGTCTTTAGGTGACATGTATATAATATGGGAGACTTTTGTCTATAGGTGACTTCTGTCTGTAGGTGTCCTTTATAAAGGAGACTTCTGTTTATAAGTGACTGCTGTCTATAGGTGATGTCTGTCTATGGGGTATGTCTGTCTATGGGGTGATGTCTGTCTATGGGGTGATGTCTGTCTATGGGTGATGTGTGTCTATGGGTTATGTCTGCCTATGGGTGATGTCTGTCTATGGGTGATGTCTGTCTATGGGTGATGTCCGTCTATGGGTGATGTCTGTCTATGAGTGATGTCTGTCTATGAGTGATGTCTGTGTTGTCCTGTAAATTGTGCTTGCGGTGTTGTCCAATCAGCTCGCCATCCCCAGCAATGTGTCTGCAGTCAAGCCAGTGTCATTTCCAGACAACAAAAACAACAGACAATGGGAGATCAACGTCGTGTTACCCCCACCTCTACACTTAGGTCGACACAAGTCCTTCGACTATGTCAGCAGATAAGGTCTTTGGAAGATCATGGTCAAGCATAGATTCATTGGCGCAAGAAAATGGTGGGGGGGGGGGTTGTGAAGAAGGGATCCGATCTGGGGGAGGGGGGGGTCACTTTTTTAATTTATTGAGTGGCGGCATTTTTGCCAAAATTTTAGTTTTTTCCTCAAGTGGCGGAAAACTAGTTGTGTATGCAAGCTTCGTTCTCACCAGTCAAACAAACTCTGAATGAACTTATTCCCCAGCCAGATCCTGGACATCCCAGTAGAGCTTAGCATCACTGATGATGGTCAAAATGGTGAACAGCTTTGGCAGCTCACTTGCCACAACAAAGTGTCGCCATTGACGATAGAGTGAACACCCACTTGACAGAGGTCCCACAATGCATCAGCATGCAGGAAATTCAACGCGTACAAGGCAGTTTTTTTCTCCATACACTAATTTTGGCTTGACAAAAACGTGGAGCCCTTGTAAGAAAACTGCGCCTCTTTCACACAATACTTTACACACCAAATTGGAGAACAAGATTCTAGATATTTCAGTACTCGCCTGGCCCAGTCTTTAGCATCTTGATGCAGACCCAGCCACCATTAGCGGGACAAGCAAAGCACATTTCAGAACTTAGACCCCCCCCCCCGCCCCGCCTGCCCCCTTTTCCGAAGATTTTTAAAAATTTTCTGGCGTTCCTGGGGACAGAAAGTTGACTAGCGGTCTCTAGGGCAGTGATTCTCAACCGAACCGCGACACTTTAATACAGTTCATCATGTTTTGGCGACCCCCAACCATAAAATTATTTTCTTTCCTACTTCATAACTGTAGAGCATATGTGTTTTCCGGTGGTCTTAGGTGACCCTTGTGAAAGGGTCGTTCGATCCCCAAAAGGGTCGCGACCCACAGGTTAAGAACAACTGCTCTAAAAAAAAAGTGGGGGGGGGGTTAAAAAATATTTTAGAATAGCGTCCAAAGAAACAAAAAAAAACTTTGACGTTCTGGAGCATCCATGAGTC